CACGCCATTCCAGTCTTACACCAACAAAGGCTGTGGCTATCAAAGCTTTCTCTGGCAAGCCACTGAAACCACCATTCTGGTTGTTGGCCTCTACTTGAGGACCGGGGAGACCTTTCAAAGCGACATCAACTCGGACATCCTGGCCCAATTGCTGTCACTGCTGACCCAAACAACACATCCCTATGTGCTCATTGGAGATTGGCAGAATCCACCTAGTGCCTTGGCCAGTACTGTCCTGTCTTCCAAATTTCACTTTGGCATTTTGGCACCAGATCACAGTGTACTGTCTGGCAACACCATCGACTATGCGGTCCTCCACAACTCTCTTGCAGGCACTACCTCGCTCCAAGCACATTGGGCAGTTCCATGGAGACCACATGCACTCCTTCAATTGACCTTTGACATTGAAGCTGCAACCATGGAGTATCGCCAGATGCCATACTTCCCGCCCATGCCCAAGGTGCCTGACATTGATTTCCGACCGTGGACCACTTACCAATCCCAGGCCAACAGCCTCGACCTGTACGGCATTCCTCCCAATGAAGCCGCTCAGGCATGGGCAGATTGGTTGTCCAAAACAGAGCAATACCTCCTCCAGGAGAACCCGTGGGCAGCTCAAGGCCGTGGGCATCATTTGCAAGCAGTCACAAAGCCATTGATGCTCCAGCCAAAAGGACACACCTGGCGCAAGGGTCGCCCAGCCTTTTGGGATCAGATCAAGGCTGTCTTCCACCTGGCCTTACAGACGCCCCCGGATTTTCACTCTGGCCCAATCCGGGGTTTTCATCAGCGACTGCTGAAAGTGCCGCAGCAATGGATTGGAGCACCTACATGGAGTCAGTTTCTGGACACATGCCATCATTGGATCAGATACCGAGATCCACATGCGGCCGATTTGATCCTGCAAACCATGACACATCAACTTCAGGAAGCACAACAACATGCTCAGGAAGAAAGCACTTTGCAGTACCGCCAATGGCTCCAGGAGGGACACCAAAAGGGCCTTAGAGGGCTCTTCCGCAGTTTGAAGAGTAGCGAATTAGCCTGGGAACGGCCGTATCGCATGACACCAATGCCACAAAGAATGAACCAGCGACTTGCTGACTGGGGTGGGCTATGGAAGATTCGTCAGGATAACGACCCCGCACCGAGACCCGACCTCAAGCTCCAGGCTCAGAGGCAAGCCCAGACACTGGCACCCATCACACCAGGGCAACTCCACCGAGCCCTAAAAGCCATGCCAGAGCGGGCCAGCGGACCAGATGCAGTTTCAGTTCAAATGCTCAAGGCAACACCTCCATTGGCTCTGACACCCCTGCTGCAGCTGTTGCACCAGATGGAGAGGATGGCTGAACTTCCAACTCAACTGCAAATGCATCTTGTGGTCATGCTGCCCAAGAACCAAAAGCTAGAGCGGCCAATCACCCTTACATCCACACTGTGGCGATTGTGGTGCAGGCTTCGAAAACCACTGCTGGACCAATGGCAGAGGCTGCTGCCTGAGACCATGAGCCATGACAAGGCAAGACCAGGGGCCAATGTCCTCCATGTGGCCTTGGCCAGACTCCTCCGCCAAGAGGTCACGAAGGCCAGACAGAAGCATGGAATCACAGTCCTCATGGACATGTCTACTTTTTATGACACCATCAACCTATGCAGCCTGCAGGAAGAGGCCATTCGCTTGGACTATCCACCACTAATGTTGGAATTGGCCATGCAGCTTTACTGCGGACCCAAAGCCATCCTGGCTGAGCAAGAGCTGACTCCATTCTTCCATGTGGACCATGGTGTACCAGCGGGCTGCCCTCAAGCACCACTACTAGCGAAAGCAGTGCTGGCACCAGCCCTTATCCCATGGAAAGACAGCCACCCCACAGCACACCTACCCAGCTGGGTTGATGATGTCGGCTTTGATCTTGAAGCAAGCACGGCCCTCCAAGTGGCACAACAAGCTGTAGCAGCGTATCGTGACCTACATACCAGACTCACGGCACTTGGGCTCAAGGTCAATCCCAAGAAAACGGCATTCATTGCCACAGACCGAACAACGGAGCAAGCCCTCAAAGGACTCCTGACAGACCATGAACCACCAGTCTCCTCGGTCATGCGGGACTTGGGCATTGACCATCAAGCAGCTAGGCGAAGACGCATTCCAGTCATGCGACAACGCTTCCAGAAAGCCAAGCAGAGAAGAGTCAGGTTGAGAACACTCAAAATTCCTGCCCTCAAGGTTCGCCTGCGCCTTCACAGAGGGGGCGTCCAACCTGTGGCTTTATGGGGAGTTGAGTCCCAAGGTTTGGCACCCAGATACCGAATCGCCCTTCGCCAGGCATTGGCCACCCAGCTCGGTCATCACGCAGGAGGTTTGCTCGACATCACCTATGACCTCCACAGCCGCAAATACCTTGATCCGGCAGACCAAGTCATCATGCATCACATCAAGGCCATGCACACCCTTTACCACACATGGCCAACGGAGCAGCTACCACGCCTCCAACAAGCCTGGGCTACGCTGCACGCACAACTCCAGGCCAAGCAGCATCCATGGTATGTGGTCAAAGGCCCCATGGCAGCCACCCTTGCTTATCTCCTGGAATGGCAATGGCAGGCTCAGGATCTTCAGAGATGGCATAGAACTGGGCATCCTCTGCTTTTGGATCAAGAGCTCACGCTACAAGATCCGTGGTGGAAGCTTGAACGAGCGTTGAAGCGGGAGGCCAAAGCACAGCGCATCTCCAGACTGGCAGGTAGACCACATCATCAACATCTGGTGCCAGGCCTTGACTGGCATGTCTACGGACAGGTGATGAGAACCATCCCAGGGGAGCACAAACCTCATTTGCGCACCTGGACACAAGCTGCTCTTCACTACAAAGAAGGTGGCCAGATCAAAGAATGCCCTATTTGCAAGGTTCCAGCAACAGTGAAGCACATCTTGTGGCTCTGTAAATGGCACCACACGCAGAAACACCAGCCTATGCCGGCAGAGTGGGCTGAACGCATTCTGTCGGACGATGAGACACCTTTGTGGACGGCAGGCTGGATACCATTAGAACCACAAGAAGCCAGAGACATGCCGCAACCCTACCAGGGACATGGAGCATGGCAAGGCCTTCAACAACTGGCTCCACATCCCCATCAAGGCTGGGCGTTTACGCTCGATGCCACACCATCCAGTTACGACCAACGGGATCAGCTTTGGATCTTTGGTCTGTGCGCACACACCATGACCTTGGGGCAGTTGCAAAGACTGGCAGCCATCACTGGAGCACCACCAGCCCCACACACCAAAGCCAGGGCACTCATGGAAGGGCTTGTGGCACTGGCAAAACACACCACCACACAGGTACGAGTCATTGTCCAGCTCATAAGTGTGTGGGAGGCATGGACTCAAGAGCGGCATCGAGGCCCCTTTCTTGATCAACTCGAGCAGCTCACTGAGTCAGATTACAACAGAGTCACTGTGCTCTATGTGCCTCGGAACACCAAATCCCACAGGCACCTGGCAGTGAACCTCAACTCCGAAGGAGACAAAGGGATGCAGCACTGACGGCATGGGAAAGGGCCAAAACCTTTCACAACAGCAGGAGCACAGACTGGCAGAAAGTCCTTGATGAGGATCACAAGCTCATCTACCAACATGCCATCAACCGCCTTGCGCTGATATACAGCACCAAGGACCACTACATCCATCAGAAAGGCCATCGGCACCAGGCCAAGAACACCAAGCAATACAAAAAGCAGCTCATCAGCCAATGCAGACAACCATGGCAGGCTCCGCAACACAGATGGCTACCGCACAGAAGTGGCTATCAGTGTGCCAACTGTGGCCTCCGAGTGCACCAGGGCCTCACGGTGCAGGTGATAGAAGACCATCTTCAAGCTGCATGCTCCCAGACCAGCCTTGAAGCCAGGTCCACAGCACCAGCCCAGGATCACCAACCCCTGGCCAAAAAGCAGACCCGACAACAAGTCATCAAGCAGATCCTGCACAACCAGAACGAGCAAGGAGCAGGCCAGCAGCAGCATCAGCTAGAAGAGACCACTGGCTACCTGAGATGCTGCAAGTGTGGAGCAAACATACATAAAAGAAGCAATGAACAGATCTTCCAAGACTTCGTCAAGGGACCATGCCTGGACCAGCCATATGAGGCGTCACATGAAGGACACAGCACTCATGTGCTTTGGCAAAAGGGCAACCGAGTCAACTGCACAGAGTGCGGGCTGAACCTTCACCTTGATGCTCAACAAAGGCTCATTCTCACAACGGCCTTCAAAAAGCCATGCAAAGGGGCCGGAACTACTGGCTCCCCACCTCTTGAAGAATACTTCCGCAAGCTAGCCACACAGGCATCAAGCTCCAGCCCTGACACCTCCAGTGACCAGGGTTCAGGCAGCCAACAACAGACAGCAGCATCTGACCGGCACTCAGCCACCAGACTCCCAAGGCGAAACATGGCTGCAGTGCCACATCAAGATGCAAGACCCACGCCTCGACGGCTGCATTTCACCACGCTGCTGGATCAGAGAGACCAAGGCACACTGGCACCGCAGACGACACCGGCCATGACACCCAGCCTGCCAGGTCCTTGGACTAGCTCGACACACCACAGCATGGCAAACCAGGGAGGCAGTGGGGACGAGGAGGCGGCTACCGGCACCTTCACGGTCGACTACTTCTGAAGGGCCGCACTGAGGCACCCGTCCTAGAGGACCAGCCACAAGAGCACCCGCACAACACTCTAGAAGAAAAACAAATACATACATACATACATACATACATACCATACCATACCATATCATATCATATCATATCATAACATTACGTTACATTACGTTACGTTACATTACGTTACATTACGTTACATTACGTTACATTACGTTACATTACATTACATTACATTACATACATACATATGCACCGTATTTAGATTCATACAGATTCCAGTTTCAGAAAATCAATTGGATCACCGCAACTGTCAGCGGCTTGGAGCCCTCGCGTCTGTGCCACACCTTTTGGTTTGAAGTCTAGTCCACACCATGGCCTGACAAAGGCAAAGGTTTCGAAATGCTCATCATCAGAGACATTTCATCTTATGACCTCTCCACATTTTGACATGTTTGCAACTGCAAAGTTGCAAGGTCAGAAAGAAGCAAGCTTCATTTCTCAGCTCAAAGCTTTTGCGCCATCAAGGGAGTAATCCGTGTCTGACAAGCAGAGTACCTCAAAGACTCAAAAATTCAATTCTACTTCAGCTGGAAGCCACTGAGCCATTATATAATGCGAACAAACAGCTTAGGGCATACGTGCTACATGGATGGGGCAAAGGTAATGCTGAACAGTAAAAGCCCATGCGAGGCCCTGATCCTGCATCCGCAACAACTGCCACGTGAAACGGTTGATGTTGCAATAGCATACCAAGTTGAGAATTTCTACAAATGTGAAGAATCCCAATCTTGGCTTTCAAATCACTCAATTACCCAGTAGTTGCCTTGCTTGACCCCGAACTTGCAACACTTGTCCCACCTGCTATCCAAAACATGTCAACATGTTGGTGAGCCTTTTTTTTACGTGCAAGCGTTGAAAGTTCTACAGTACATCAATAGCTGTCAACAACACTATCCCTATGAGTTCCTGAAGTTATATGCATGTTGCCTATTGTTGTATTGCTTTCTGCACATTTCTTCGGTGGATCCAATCTTGTCTGGGATGATCCGGAGCAGGTTACTTCGGCATGTCTATGGTTGAAGGCAGCTTCGCGATATCAGAACGGGGACCAGAACTAAGGTGCCAGCAAACGATCCTGGCTTTCTTGAGGCAACGTACCATCAGGCCTGCGGCCACCCTTTCTGGAATCAAGGCGCCATGCTGGACGCTTACATGCTGGTAGTTACTGGGCTGGCAAAACATGTGCGTATATATATATATATATATGTTCGTTCTATATATAAGTTATATAAATAGCATTGTTTGCATCAACTGCTGGCATCGATTGCTTTTGACGAGCCTGCTTGGATGCTGAATAGCAAACAAAATCTGATTGACTTTTCTGTATCTTTTTGATTCAAGCATTCCTCCTTGTTTAATTCTGCTGCTCGGAACATCTCGCCTTGTCTCCAAACACTCCCAAACAACGCTCTTCCAGCGCCGTCCTCCACTCAGGGAGCTCCTCAGCGTTGAGCAAACAGTTTTCAAACATCTTTCACGCTAACTCTCACCCAGGCATTACCCAGTTTCATTGTGAGCTTCTCCAAGTAGCAACCTAGATCGTTTGATCAGCCCTCCGCATTTTTGTCCCTGTCTCGTGTCTGGGAGGTCTAGCCGACAAAGAAAACTCGTATCTGCCAGTCAAACATCGCAATCTCCCAGTTCTGACAACTGCAAATGCTGGGTCATCGCACGTGTCTGCGATGACCTGTGGAGAAACAAAGGCAAAAACCAGTTCAGCAAAATACATGAAATTGGTCTCAACAGACACCAATTTCACGAAACCACACTTTCTTATCTCTGTCTATATATATATATATAGAAAGAGATGTCTGTAGCCTTTAAGGCAGAACTCATGGACATGCTGCATGTGACATGCCCCTTGTCTGTTTGAAGCATCTTGATCCTTGATTAGCACCTCCAAATCGCCACAGCCGCCCATATCATAGGGCCCTCGAATGATGACCTCGGATCAAGTGAAGTTGGGAAATCGTTTTGGTTTGGATCCAATTGTGTCCTTGTTGCGTCTCGGCCACTCAGCAACCCACCTGGGGCACCTCTGGCATACCAATCAGCCCTGTCTCCAATGGGTGCCACATTCTCCTGACACGCAACACTGACTTGAGGACAGTGGGGAAAGCGAGGGGTGTGGAAGGATCAAGGGGACGCGGAGGGAGGGCAGCAACGAAACGCTTTTGTGCCACGAGCGCAAAGTGTTGTTGGCTGAGTCAACCGAACACTAAAAAACAAGGTGAGCCCGCGGACCCAAAAGCAAAAAGAAACGCACAGCCCAGGAAAAATAGACAAACACACATTAGCAGGCCAAAACGAAGCATCAGCCCCCTCCAAGCTTCGTGGCAACCATGATATTTCAAGCGTCGCGGTTCTGGTGCGCATCCGTCCACCCCTGTCTGCCATATACACCCCCGTCCGCCCCTTGGTCAGTTTTTAAAGCCCTCGAATACGGTCAAAAAACGATTACAACATGGCTTCTGACAACCGTTCCAGGAAGCATGGAGCAGCACCAGCCCCCTCCATGGTTCGTTCCAACCATCCAATTTCACGCATTGCGCTTTTGGCAATCCTGCCGTGTTGGCCATGACTTGACTGTCTGGCGCATGCATTGTGCACATTTTGGACACCCAACACCATCGTATCAGCCCCGCAACACAGCTCCACTCACCTTTCAACGGGCTTCCCCCCTCCCTTCCTTCCCCTCCGTCTTCCCTTCCCACCTCCACATCCATCTTCCGTCCCCGACAATCCGACAACGCGTGCTTTGTCTCGCTCTTCCGCGGCACTAGCGACTAAACGAGAACCCAAGCATCGGAGATGCTTTTGAGAAAACATCGGCTTTCATATTGTCTTTTCTGGGCATTTGGCATGGTGCTTTCTCGCAAGGGCGAGGGAGGAGTCGAAGAGCCTCGTACAATTCACTTTGGTCCCCCCTTAGACGTTTCAGTCTGCAATTGAAATATATATTCCTTTGCGAGGGGGAGGGGTTATTGAAAGAATCAATAAAAGGGAGGGGAGGGGGCATTGGGGGGGGCACCCCTGTTTCTGGCTTTTGGGCGCCCATTCGCATGATGGTTCTAGTTACACGCGCTCTTACGCAATGCATATGAACCGGCCATTACATTTGGCTCAAGGTGCATCTTGCGCGATACAAAAAGCCGCAGCTCTTCGCTCGCACGCTCTTGTGGGATTGCTACGTTGTAAGCTAGACCCAGGTCGATACTGAGGACTGTACGCTCCACTGCGGGGGATTCCACCCCCAAAGTGGTAGCGGAGCTTCGTTGCTCCAGAAATCCCGAACTAACGGGTGTGCTTCGGCGCACCTTCGTTCGAGTAGAGCCGCTACAGCTAGCACACAATGAGCGATAGCGAGAGTTCAGAAGAAGGCCGTGCATCAGATTATTATCCAGATGGTACAAACCCAGACACCAACAAGCCCTGAGACCGCTCTAGCGGCGGGGCATCGTAGGCCAGATGCGTACGCAGCACAGGTTCCCGAAGCCTGTCAGGTTAGGGCGACTCCGAAGATTGCACCGACTTTTAACATCCTGGTTTGAGTATGAAGATTGCGTAGCGTGGTTGGTTGAACCTGACAACATTGGCTCCTCGCAAACACGGTCCTAGCTTGAAGAACAGCCTTGTAGGCGCAGCCGCACACTATAAAGGCATGCTAGAGAACCGTCTACTCGCAGATGCAGATCATGGAGTTGACTATTTGAAACGAACACTTCGTCCATTTTTCACCAAGGACAATCAACGTGTGTTTCTGAGTAGATTCCTTCAGTTGTTTCGACAATGGCGTGGTTCCCGTGAGATGGTCACCTGGATTGGTCTTTTGGAAATCACCATGAGACGTTTGCGAAACGCATGGATGGACCTCTACCGAGACTTTCCGGCGCCACAGTCAGTCGATTTCACTAACACATTGACTGCGCAGCAACGTGCTGAAATCGCAGCGATGGATTGACGCAGAAGATAGACCCGATGCTGTACAGGAAATTTGGCAACAATCAAAGAACAGAAGCCGCCAGACAAGCGCAGCGAGCCGCATTCCATTACCTGGGAATTTGATTGCAACGATATTCATTGCGCAGGCAGATTTGAATGAGCGACAGCGAGAACGCCCAGTATCAGCAATGAATGCACAAAACATTCCAATGGAAAGCTACGAGTATCAGGCAGTCAAGACACAGTTTCTACAGCTTTTCTGCGTAAGTAGAACCAGCATTAGCGATCCACAGCTTCAACACCGCCCTAGCGGTCGTAGGCGTCGAACATACTTCATCGAAGAACACGGCGCCATGGATGGCCAAGAAGGCTATTGGCGACCGATGAAACAACCAGTGAACAAGGTTTCATGGCGCTGTACGACGAAGATCATTTCCTTGCGTTGAAGGCTGATGGACACGGCTATTGTAGAAGGAAAATCCGCGGCAGAAAATTCAGGAAAGGCAAAGGAAAAGGTCGAAAGAGGCCAGGTTTCAGACCCCGTGGTCGGGGAAAAGGCAGTTCGCACATGACAGAAATTCAATTCGAATATGAAGATCCGGACTCCTCCTTCCTTGGTAAAGGTAAAGGCAAGAAAGGCAACAAGTCTTACACCCCGCAATGGCAACAGCCATATTTCGGAAAAGGAAACAAAGGCAAGGATCAACAACCATTTGCAGGAAAGGCCAAGGGAAAGAGCAAGAAAGGCAAGGCCAATATGACAGAAGATCCCTCTGCCACGTCAACGACAGCAAACAGCACCTCTTGGCAAGGTGATGATGCGAGCGGTGTAGGTACCGAGGACTGGGGTTATTATGGAGAAGACTGATATCAGTCCGGACGGCACGATAGTTTCACTTCGAATTCGTACTGTGTAGAGCACAACGAGTGTCGGACAAGACAGACCGACAAAATGATATTTCGCACGCGCATGAGAACGCTACAACTGAACTAACGGTTAATGCTTTCGGCGCTTGCGCAGAAGGAAGACACAAAGACATAAAGTCAGAACAGACTTCACTTGTACCCTTTTGCGCCCAACATTCTGAACAATCCTTCAACCTTAGTTCAGTGATTGACCTTAGCCAAGAGCCGACGTTCGCGATATTAGATACAGGACGCACGCAGTCGATGGGATCGAGACATGCCGTGAACCGTTTGATGCAGGCATGTTCGAAACAGGAACCAAACCTTATTTGGTTCAAGACGGTACCATGTCGGAGTATGTTTACGTTCGCAAACGGGGAAACGTCCGCGATCACTCAGAGATTGGTCATGTACTTTGCCCGTTCTAACGGAAGTTTTGTTTCGACCACCATAGACATTCTGGATATAAGGGTAAGGTTCCGATTTTGTTCAGTATTCAGATCTTGAGTTTGAACTTATGCGTACTGCAGCCGGAGAATTCCTTACTTGCCAGAAGCTTGGTCTAAAGAACTTTCCGTTGTCCGTATCAACTTCCGACCATACCATTCTTAATGTCCTCGACCTTGCTCGCGCAGATCGACAACCGTCTCACAGTTTTGCAGCCATTACTTGTCCAGCTTGCAACGGCAAACGCAGACCTCATAATTACGACAAGACTTGCAAGAAGACAAAGGATACTGCCGAACTACCGGCTAAGCCAGATAAGTCCTCTGAGGATGTTCGCCCAGTTCGACATACTATCAAGATGAAGCCTCGTACATCAGCAGACGACAAAGTTCGTACGATTCCAACGGAAACCCCAGACGTTGGCTTCCGCCCTAGCGGAAGTGCAAGCAGTTCCCGACGTGCGCCTGATGTAGAGATTGTCGAGAAGGACGATGAGGAGGCAAGGCCGGATAGTCGCGAGCCTGTACCGGACGAGCCAAAAGTCGAAGAGAAGAAAGAACCAGGGAAGATAAAGCCTAAGTCAACAGTCACCATGCCCATAGCTCTGAAACGAATACATGACAAATTGAGTTCTCCTACCGAGTTACTGCGACTTCACTTGAAACATTACCACGTGTCAACTGATCAACTCAGAAGAAGAACTTCTGAATTGAAACTTCCAGAAGATATTTACAAACACTATGACGCTGTGGTAAAGACTTGTGATACACGCCAGACTCCCAAGAGAGCACCTTCGCGCGCCAAGGTTTCAGGCGTGCGCAGTGAAACATTCGGTGAACTCACTTTTGTTGATCATGGTATGGTTGACGTTGAAGGTGGCGAGAAGAAACTTGTTTTTCTCATACTGTTCTACTGTTCGACGGTGCTACGTCTTTGTCAACAGAATATGTGGTTAACACGATGAACTCCAAGGAAACCATCAACTTGTTTCTTGAATACTTTGAGGCTTACCAAATCAATCCCAAGACGATTGTAGGTGATCAAGCGTTCACGCAGCCAGATTTTGAAGACTTTTATGCTCATAGAAACATTGGGCCGATTGCACTAGGACCAGGAACACCATGGCCTAATCGAGCAGAAGCTGCAGTTCGTACTTTCAAGAAACAGGTAACATTGATGGTGAATTCTTTGGCAGACGATCCCGCACTAGCGGATGTCACTTATCGACAATGGGTCCGTCAAGCTCGCCTTGCTAGGAATTCCTCCGTTACGTACGGTGGTGTGACTCCGCTAGAGATGGCATGTGGTCGTAGACCTGCAGACATCCTGAACTTAGAGACTGCTACTCCTTCTCAGTTAACTTCCGATGTTCCAACGCCAGAGAAGAAGATAGAAGCAGTTAGGATGCTTGCAACCAAGGCCTATCTAGAGGCAAAACAAGCAGATGATGTCAGACGCGACTTGAGCGCTAAACTCAACGTGTCTTCAGGTCCTTTTCTTCCAGGTGACATCCCGGCAACCATACCGGAGACAGAACGTCGAGCCAGACCACCTGGTCGAACAGGCAAAAGCAAATGCTGCACAACGCAGCGGTGATCTCTCGGACACTCCGAGTGAAGAGGTGATCGAAGGCGGAATGGTCACTACTGGCCGCCGCCGCTCTGCAGTAAGTCCATCCGCTCTATAGATGATGATGATGATGACGATGATGATGATGCTGATGCTGCTGCTGCTGATGATGATGATGATGATGCGGAAATGGAACCTGCAGATTCTCCTCAGCCAGC